GGGCGGATGCAGACTGATGCACTCCTTGGCTTTGGGGAGGAAATGAACATTGACTTATGCTAGGTGTTTCAGAAGAACAAATGAGGATGTTTAAGGTTTAGTGGGGCATTTAACCTTCCTCTGTAAGCGGTTAGGTGGAGCTCAGGAAATGTAAGTTCTCTGAGTATCTAATACAGGTACAGTCCTCATGAAATAGTCACTCTTGTTATCCCTGTTCACAAATGAGAAACCTCGCAGAGTCAGCTGTGGTCCAAGGTGCTCTTACTCGAATGCCTGCTTTTACTGTAGTGGTGGGCGAGGGGACTGAGACCAGGCAGAGAGAAGGTTCGCCTTGAGGTCATGCTAGAAGTTCAGGTTTAAAGTGGCGAGAGGCTTCCAATAGGAGGGAAGGAGGTATCCACATTATTTTGTGGGAAGACAGCATATGGTTTGTCTTAGAAAAGGCTCGGAGAATAATTTGGCCCTTAATCTCAAACCCAGAAAAAAGGAAGCACAGTGCCTGGAAGCAGATAGTGAACTTGGCATAAATGGTATGTAGGCCTCGATGACTGTTCTAAACAGTGACAGCCTTCCTCCGGCGTTGTTCTTCCTCCCATTTAATTGCAATATCCCCACAGAGATATTGTTATCTAGATATTACAGTAAAGAGATTGAAGCCTGGAAAACTTTTCAGTCGCCTGCATGATCACATGCATAGCATGTAATAGAATACTTCAGAATCCAGGTCTCTGATTCCCAAAGCCTGCTTTGTCTTGTTTATTGGACTACTTCAAAAGTTAGGCACCATCAGACTCAAGGGAGGTTGGTATTGAGGTCTTGAAGTTCCATATGAATGTGAATGCTATGAAACATAACTAATTAAAAAAATTCTCAAACAGTAATATGGAAAAATCCCCAGGGGAGCTAGTTAAAATGTAGATTCTTGGTATCTGTCAGCTCTTAATTCAGTTGGTCTCTGATGGTACCCAGGCATCAAATATGCATTTTAATAAACAACTCAGGTGATTCTGGTGCAGCTGGGGGGCTTGAATCCCACTTTGAAAAACATTCCAGCTGCTTAAATTCTATTAAGCCAGCCTTCTGGTTCTGATAAAGTACATCTTGAATGTCTGACAACTTAGGAGATTTTGGAAATGTTTGAATCAAAGGATCACAGATAAAGGGGAATTTTCCCAGAAAGCTAGGCAAACATGTCTGGTTTTAGATGGATTCTGTAAGAACTGACAGATGAAAGCAGACTTCAGGTTGGCCTTGGAGAAATCAGTCACTCCAAAGAGTGTTGAAAGCAAGAGAAAGGTAAAGCAGTGGAAGCTGTGCATTGTGAAACTGAGTGCTCAGATGCAGTGATGCAGTGGCCGGTCTCTGCCCTCCATCTGGGCCATCTCCTGTAGAGAGCTCTGCTGGACCTTCGTCATTTCATCCTCCCAAGACCCTGGACAGGATCAGGCTACTCTGTTTCTTGCTGTCATAAAACCACATTCTTTCCCGTTAGCATGCTTATTCAGTGTGTAATGATACAATAACTAGGGTGATTATTCCGTTTTTGTGAATGATAGGTAAGTTGGTCTGCTGGGAGTACGGGGCGGGAGTGGGGGGGAATCAGAAAGGCTGCTTGCTGACCAAAAAGTCAAGCCTATTAAGTAAGATTTACCACTTTGACAAAATGATAGGTTTCTTCCTGTGAGAGTACAGCTGCCATAGTATATGTGTTTGGACAGAGGATAATATGTCCTGAGTCATCTTTGCCAGGTAGAAAATTTGCTTTGTATGGTAGAAAAATAAGGATGCTGTTGAACTGACCACCCCTGAAGGCTCAGGGGAAAGAAACTAAAGCATTGACAGTTGATAGGCATGTGAGTGGAGAGTGTGACCCACAGGAACTTGATATGAGATAACACCTAGGAGGCTTCATGTGCTCAGCAATCTTAAACATACTCGGTGAAGGTTTCTTTAGTGTCGGCTGTGGGTAAGACCGAGACGGTTACTGACAAAGTGTTCATGTAGCAGATTGGATACTGACTGGGTCTCGTGAATCAGTGTGCCAAGCACAGGGGCACACAAACAGAACAAAGCCTCTCTCCTACCTTTGGGAGCTTATGGTTTATAAGAGAAAGACGTAAGCGTTTGTGGAAACACACTGCCAGAAGCTAAGTTTCCTGCATCTGTGTGGGGTCTGTTGGGAGCACACTCCTCATGACAGCAAGGATAGACGTCACCTCTGCCGCCGTTCCTCTTACTGTGCGGGCTCCTGGGCAAGCTGCTCGCATGGGATGTGTATATACTGGGAACTCAGTGTCCTCTTTGTCTCCTGTCTCTCTCGTTAGGTAGAAGAAGCTGGCCAGGTGTTTCTGTTAATGAAAAAAGATTATCGAATCTCCCGAAATGTTCGCCTGGCTTGGTTCCTTAATCATCTGCATCAGACTGTTCAGGCCACACCCCAAGAATTCCTGGTATGTCCTAGTGACAGGTGGGAGGTGAGGGCATGGCCCAGAAGGATCTCTTTTTTTTCCTTAGAGCTCTAAGGCTGGGGAGGGGCGGTGGCTTTACCTGCAAAGTGCTTCCTTACAGAAAATGTGTTCATACTTTTTCTAGCTAGTGAGGCAGAGGATCTGTGGTTGGTTTATTGAAAGTGGAGCCAGTGGAGGGTCATTTTGGATATAGGAGGCAGGTCTAGGGAGCACTTCATATCGAGGATCCCCTTGGACTGCATAGCAGTACTATAGGTTGCTGTTAGGGTTGTGTTCGGTCTACAGATGAGGACACTGATGTTAAAGAGGTTGAGTCCATTTTCTGTAGCCTCACAGCTAGGACGTGGCCAAACTGGGAGTCAGAGAAGAAAGGGAACTCTTCTTAACCTTCTTTTTTTTTAGGATGTCTATGTCTGAGTGTGTGTCACATGTGTGTCTGTGTGCGAAGTGTATGTCACATGTGTGTAAGTGCCTGTAGAGACCAGCAGAGGGCATCGGATGCCCTGGAACTGGAGTTACAGGTGGTTGTGAGCCACCTGACGTGGGGTCCTCTTTGAGGGCACAAGTTTTCTTAGTCACTGAACTGTCATGTCTCCTGCCCACGACCCCTTCTTTCTCCTCTATCTTGTCAGCTTCAGTCTGAGCAGGAACTGGAAGTCCTCAGTGTTTTGCCCCCTGGATGGCAGCCAGATGAGCCAGTGGTCCCAAGGCCCTTCCTTCTTGTCCCTTCCACACGGGTCACCTTCCTGGCCTGGCAGTATCGTTTTGTTATTGAGCTGGACCTCAGCCCATCCACTGGCATTGTGGTAAGTGGGTAGAGAGGAACAGTAACGAAGATGGAATGGGAATGAGAAGCAGGGAGAGCTGGAAATGAAAACAACCTCAGCCTTATGGGAAAAGACAAGCCTGTGAATGCATGGTGGGTGTTCAGAAACAGCCTACTCCGTGTTCATAAGAATGGGGTCCTGCTGGTCCCGGAAGCCTGCTTGTTTCTATATTCCGCTTAGAGCTGCTTTGGACACTCTTGTGAGATCTCTCTCTCTTCACTGCCCTTAGGATGACTCTACGGGGGAGATCTTGTTT